GGCACAGGCACGGGCACGGGCACGGGCGCGAGCACGAGTACGAGTACACTCTGTGACGACCAAAGCCAAGGCAAAAGCAAAAGCCAAGAAGCCGATACAAAACGTGCAAAGGACTCCCACAAGCCCATCCCGCTAAACCTCATCCTCCTCCACGACGACCTCGAGCTGTCACCGGGGAAACTCTCTGTGCGCCGCGGCGGCGCATCCCTCTCTGCGCGCGGCCACAATGGTATCAAAAGCGTGGTGAATAGTCTTGTGAAAGCCGGTATGCTGTCACCGGCGGTCGGGGCGGGGAAGAAAAAGGGCGGTAGCAGCGGCGGCGTTGTTGTTGGCAATGTAAGGGCTTTTGACCCAACTCGTTTCCAGCTCACTCGGATTGGGGTGGGCATTGGGCGGCCTGCAAGTCGCGAGCCGGAGGAAGTGGCAGAGTATGTGCTGGGGCGCATGCCGGATCGGCAGATGGAGGTTACGGCAGGGTTGGTGGAGGAGTTAGTGAGGATTTTGGAGAAGGAGGCTGAGATGATGGATGGGGTATGACGGCCGACGGAGATGCGATGGCGAAGGCTGCATGGTATGTGCTGTACGATAATGACAGGTGTATAATTTCTGCATAGTTTTGGTTGGCTCCTATATTTGCTTTTGGTTTCGTTCCTGTTTTTCTGAAGGGGATACCATTTTGTTTCTTTTATTGCCCAGATACTCCTGTTCTTTATAGACCTACACTTTCTGTATACCTCGGTGTTGTTGCGCATTCATGAAAGCACCTAAATGTATTATTGACAATGGATAAATTGGGGATATCAAGAAAATAGAATGTTTATCGAGCTTCTAGTATATATTTCAGATGACTGCTGTGCAAATCGCGAAACTGAACATCTCGCCCAAAATGTATGTTTCGAAATGAAAACATCTAGTCCTCGATCTACTAAAGAAGTTCATCGCCGCACACAAAGATAGCAGATAATCGGACTACAGGAAGAAAAAGTTGAAGACAAGAAGTCAAAGCTAACTATCTAGCAAAGAGGCCGTCAGAAATACTGTCGCAAAGACACATCCGACGGTAGATAGCTCGCCGTTTTCACCAGCACCCAAGCGCACCCGCTCAGGGAAAAAAAAAAAAAAAAACTAAAATTTCCAGCATCAAGTAGTAACATGTCGTGAATATATATGAGTGGGTATATATGACTTTTTGTATATTCGTCTGTATTATAGGCGTGTGTGTATTTACGCAACTAGCTGACCGAGAAAAGAGGTATCTAAAGCGGAGAAAGTAAGAGGGCAGAGAAACGGAGAGATGAAAAACGTATATGGTATGAAAATAGAGAAAAAGAAGAAGAGAAAGAAGAAGACGAAAAACAAACAGGGAGTGTGTGCGACGTAGAGAAAGAGAAAGATGAAATATTCCCGCACGCTAAAGATCATTCCAACAAGAGATATGAATCCATACACTTGATACACCATTTTATTTCTTCCCAAACTGCGTGCTCTCCCTCCTAACCCTCCCAAGGAGTGATCGCAAACCATTTCGCGACCGTTGGGCTGCGGATGTAGTCACTGGCGCAGCGGTAGCGTTGGTCGCGCTTGTTACAGCGACAGCAGTTCCCATCGTTCTGTGGGACGGCGAGCGCGTGTTAGATGACAGTGACAGGGCTGCTTCTGCTTGGGCGGATAGTTGTTCTGAGCTTTGTATCACTGGTTCTGAAGGGGAGGTGGCGGTATTGGAGGCGGTCGCTCCGAACCCTACACTCCCATCCGCAACTGGGGTTTGTATTTGAGACGACAGAGTTGTAGACCCAGCTGCAGCTGCCGCCATTGACACATGTGCACTTTCATCTGCGACTTCGACATCCTGATTCTGTGCTAGAGGGCTCGTGGTTGTCGCTCTTGTAACCTGGGTCAGATCCGATGGGACCTTCTGATCCGTTGTATTAAGTGTGGTTTGCCGAAGCAGCTCGCCAAGGCTAGATTCCTTCCCCTCAACCCGCCGGGTGAGATACACCTTTGGTGTCGGACGCTGACGCGCAAGGCTTTGTTTCCGAATCCGCTCCACCTCCTCCATATACGCGGTTTCATAGATGTTAATATCTGCGGCGCCGGGCGATTCACTTACAATGAGCACCTGACCCATTTCAGAGATTGGGAAGGCAGTGCTGTCATCGTCGCCAAGACCACTGGCTACTTCGGACTTAGCTTGTTCCTCTGTGGCTGCATGAGGTGCAAGGTTGAAATTGTTTGATGATCTCTCTTCGTCTTCTGATGTCAGGACACCCGTGAATGACGATGGACCGATGAAGAGGAACGAATGTTCTTCTTCTAGAGGATCGCGAGCATGGCCGCGTGTACCTTCAGAAATGCTTTGTTTGCTTGGGGTGCTGGTGCGGGAGGTTTGAAGAAGCGGCGAAGACGGTGATTTGGTAGTTGAGCTGGGGCGGTGTTGGCATGATCCCCCAAACGTACTTGCAAGACGCGAGTCACTACCGCTTTTTTGCATGGTGGGCTGAATGTAAATTCCCTGTTCGATGACATGTCGCCCAGAGTCTGTAGAACCAGACTTTGAATTGATGATCCTAGCACTAGAGAGAGCATCCGGGTCTGTTGTATTCACTGAGGAAACTTCAATGTCGGACGCTTCCATGGATAGCGGCGGTTGAACGAAGTGAGACTCGACATCTTGACCCAGAATACTTTGCATTGGGGCTGCGTTTTCTGGCTCGATGAGCCTTTTGAATTTATGTACTGCTCTAACCTGTGGGGCTATGTTAGAACCTATTCAATTGCACACATAATATTTCATGCTAGAAACAACTTACCACTGCAAGCACGTTACCTATTTTGTTGGTAATGGCAGAGTTCACTTCTTCTTCGGTGGGGTCACCAATGAGATTGGCAGTGTTTTCCTCTGCAGAAAGGAGAGGGTCGGTACCGCCTTTTGTGACCCAGGGATGGTTCTTGGCCTTATCAGCAAGGGCATTTGCAATATGAATTTGAAAATCGAAAGAAAGAAAGTAAAAGAGGGAACTGTCATACTCACTCTGAGCTCAGGCATCTTGATCCTTTTCGTAGGATCCTTTTGTAGAATATTTGTCATCAAATCTATGAAATCCTCATCTGTTTCATTTTCGTATTTAACCTCGTCATTCCTGATTGACTCGTAGAGTTCAAAAATGCTCTCTTTCTCGAATGGTATTCGCCCATAGCGGAGGCAGTACAGCGTCACTCCCATGGACCAGATGTCAGCTGCTGTGCCGGATATATCCCCATGTTTCGCAACACACAACTCTGGTGGCAGAAAGGCAGGAGATCCAGCAGACTTCGCGGTATACATGTCAGAATCTTTCTGAAACATTTCAGACACGCCAAAATCGACAACTTTTAGCACGTCATCGTTAGTCAGGAGGCAGTTGTCTGGTTTTATGTCTCGGTGAACGATATTCTGTGCGTGCAGGTACTCCACTCCCAAGATCAAGTCCCGAAACCAGCAACGACAGCTTTCATTTTGATAAGGGTCTGAGCATTCTCCCAGGCCGACCTTCATGATGACACCCTTTTTACACATCTCCATGACCATATATAACGAGTCCTCTGTAGGGTCGTCAAGAACTTCATACAAAGCCACGAGGTTAGGGTGATTTAGTTTTTTCATGATTGCAATTTCCTCCTTAATAAAATATAGGGGGTTGCTGTTCGCTTCGTCTTCGTGGCCTGACGGGTGGCGGTGAAGAGGAGAATTCAACCCCATACCGGCGGGGATGGTGCCAGGGACTCTGGCACCCCGAGGGTTGCGCAAGATATGGGATTGAGCTCGCTTTCGCAATCGTGATTTAGAAAATTCTTTGACAGCCTTGAAAGTCCCCAATCGTTACCATACGATTATCGATCAAATAAAAAATGAAGAAGACACTCACGTATTCATGGCCATATTGATCGATTGCAAGATGGACGGCCCCGAACGAGCCCCTTCCAATTTCCTGTTTTATGAGGTACTGGTTGATGCGATGCTCAGCGGTGCCATCATCATGGCTATTCGTGTATTCGGAACGAGCGTTAAGGGTTTCCTTGTCCAGTTGGCGTGCTGTCAGAACGAGCAACAAAACCAGTTGTCAGGATTAAGGGCCAGCGACAGGGTTAGGATGGCGCACTTTTACTCGACGAGGAGCAGTATGGCTTCTCGTATGGTGTCTTAGCGGACTGTCATAGGAGGCTGTTGTAGACCTTTATTTCAATGAAAAGCCGATATTAGCTCACAGTCGATACCAACAAAAAAAGAAAATCAAATTAAGCTTCAAATATCAGAGTAAGAAGTGAGCAGCATCAGCCGTAGGCACTGTGGTGATAGCTATATTGGTTCATATCTCATGCCACCATGGCTAGACCGGAGCTAGCTATGAAAAGGGTGCAGGAATGTCAACCAGCTTTCTGGACTCACACAGAGCTTTGGGCATTACAAGTACACATGTATATAAATATGGATTGCAAAAGAAACATACCAGGTGCGTGATTCAGCAAGGGTCGTGGAGCAGTCGATTGTGGTATCTCCGTCCACCGTCCTTTGGCGCTCAGAAGCAGCCGAGGCTCGGTCCATTTAACAGGGCGGCTGGGGAGTGTGGCAGAGGACAAGCTGGTTCAGCGGATGAGGTCCAACTGGATAATAAAATATATCACAGAGTCTTTTAATGTCTGTCTAAGCGTGCGTGGTGAGTGACCAACTGTTCCCGTGTTTGGTTTGATCTCGCTCTTGATTATTGTGTCGAAGGGGCAACAGGGCTGAATGTGGGGCGCCGAGGGGCAGAGAGCTCTGTTTTTACGGCGTTTTCTGCAGAACCAGGCTAAAAATCGAGACACCGGAATGGGAGCAGCAGCGAACCGCTCCTCATTGAAGCGAGAGCAGACGGACGTTCAAACAAATTAGAACAAAATGCAATCCGCCTGGTTTGGAGGGGTCGGGAGACTAGGAGCTCCACCAACAACAATTCAGATCGTCGAACCAATTGAGACTTGGAAACATCGAGAACTGGATACGAGCCTGAACAAAAAGCAATCCACCGTTATTGGGGACCGAGCAGCAGGATTCCATGTGTATCCATACCATTGAGCGGCTTGTCTTCCTATCCCGTTGACTTTCAAGCGGGATGGAAGGTTGGAGAGCACGCTAGCCGGCTTACTAAGTGGTTCTTGATGGCTTTCTTCCTTTGTCTCCTCTCACTGTGCAGATTATCGGAGACAGGGAATTCTACTGTACTCTTTGCAGCTTTACAATCTGTGTGTGCGCCGGTGGCCGAACGGTTGGTCCGACCATCTGGTAGCGCCTTGGTATGGATTCAAAACCCCCAGGGATACATCTTACAAGCCTCCAACTGACAAGCCATCTTTTGATGACGGAATCTTGATGACGGAATCTATCCCAAGGCTTCTGACCCTTCCCCTTGGAGAAGCGGAGTGACGATCACGCTATATCGATGAGCGAACAGGCCATCGCTGGAACCCCGGAGTTCAGGGAGCGCATTTATATAATTTTGGATTTCATGATGCTACATTTATATAGGAAACAGACATGCTAGTTGCTTTCCGAACAACAAAACTCTGCAAAGGGAATCAGCCTTGGCCACAGCCCCAGTGCTAGCTATGGGATGCAGTTCAATTTAACGATAGCGACGAGGTGCCAAACGCAAATGACACGGACTTATCCACACGGCTACCATTTCGCTACACGCGATTATGACATTGGCTTCCCGGCCACCAGTGGTTTTGATATGGGCTCCAGTCACAAAAGGAATCTAGTGTGTGACTTTGGCGATGGGAATTTCTTTTTAACAGAACAGAATTCTATGCCTGGGTCGAGACTGCTGGAGATTGAAGGGCCAATGACGTTTACAGTCATACTTGAGATGGATATGGCGCTGCAATGGATTTTAACCATGGCTTCCCGGCCGGTGATCTCCACTGGATGCGTCAATTTCCCTCGATATTCCGCTAATGAAACAAACCCCAGAATCATCATATATCTAAATTCTCCGAACGGGATGATCTTTTGAAAATAGCCGTTCTACCGCATGATGGCCGGTTTGGACCAACCAAAACCCTTCCATCGATACCTCACTATGACAAGATCGGCTTTATCTGTCGGGGTCGGCAATGTTTGTGCTTGCTAGCCGTTACATATGAGCCTGAAGTACGCTGTGTATGTTAGCACCTCAGCTCATAACGTCACGGGCCACATACAAGGCTTGGCCATTGGAGCTGACAGATTGCGTCTGTTGAGTTTCAACCCCACGGAGCCCAGTATCAGTCCCATGTACTGTTTTCATTCCCGTGAAGATGATAACAGGCGATGGCGACAATATCTCCCCGCCCTTCTTCTTTCACCATGTCTTTCCAGTTCGGAGCACGCTTAATTGGTTGGGTTGGGCATCCCGAGAATTTGGGACAGCCACCGACCGTCAAGAAAGCTGGTCTCGAAGTCGCTGTTTCCGCCCCGTGCCGCGGACAGGATAGCAAGGACCAACTGCATTTCCTTCACTAACGTCGAAACAGTACACAGTTTGGAGTTCATTCACCTCGTTTTCAAGTGCTTTCTCATCAGATACTGTACTTACACCATTCTTCAACGCAGGGCTGTTGTGGGAGGCGCTAGGTGGTGGATTATCAAATTATTGTAAGTGAAATATTGATGAAAAGAAAAAGATGGAACAGAAAATGTAGTCTGGAGTAAATGCCTGTGATATGCCTACGGCAAACATGCACATCTAAGATCTTCAACACTATAGCAGATATAAATACTATATTAAGAGGTATGGATATATTTTACAATGCCTAGTACGAATGTAGTAGAATTTAAATATGTATGCTCTGTAAAGTGGATAATATTCTGTGGCAACAATGGGTCTCTGCTGTGGATGTGGAAGAAACCTCCTGGGGAATTTAGTTCCACGGAATATCCATATGATGCCCACATCCTCCATCCTCAACCTCCTGGGCCGCACGCGATATGTCCAAATACCAGCGGAATTAAATACAAAAGAATCCCCCAACTACCAAGTACATATTAGCGTCCTGCGTCCCCCGATCCTCATAATCCACAGTCCATCTTGTATTTGCCTTCTTTCCTAATATCTAGGTAATATCAAGCAATTGACATCTCCATCACGATCACGATCATGGTTGTGTATTCTTTCTACATCTTCGACCGCCACGGTTCGTTTTATATGCCCTTATCGTATACTCTGTTCAACAACTTGGCGTGCTAATACCTAGGTCCTCTCTACCCAATGCAGCGGAATGCATCTACAAGCGCCGCTGGCTCCCACGGCCGACCTCCACAACTTCAAGGTCCTCCCGACCCTCCTCAGAACCCACCTCCGCCAGCAATGGCATGCCCTCGTCCATACCCTCCCGTCAAAGCCTGACTGCAGAAGACGATGCTAAGCTGATATTCGGCACCGTATTCTCCCTACGGAATATGGTGCGCAAGCTAGGAGGCGATGATGACAAGTATGTGAAAAAAAAAAAAAAAGACTCCTGGGCATCTGGGCTATCGGAAATCATGCTGACCGGATCCGTCTCCATAGCTTCATCTGTTACCGAACAAGCCAATACAAGCTGCATTACTACGAAACACCCACGAATATTAAGTTTATCATGCTTACAGACGTCAAGTCTGGTAGCATGCGACCAGCGCTACAGCAGATATATGTCAATTTATATGTGGAATACGGTTCGTGCACCCTTGACCATCACCTCTTCCGTTCTATAATATTATATATTTAGATAAATATATATAATACAAAACAGTAGTCACTGACTTAAAACCTGTTACCATTTTCCAGTTGTCAAAAACCCTCTATCCCCCATCGAACATCCAGGTGGCATAGGCGTCAATAACGAGTTATTCGAGGAGTCTCTACAACAGTTCGTGGTATGTGTATTCCATTTCGACCATTACTTGTTTTGAGACAAGCAGACTAACGTTGCGCACTCCTTTAGACTCAGGTATTAGCATAAATCTCCAAGAACCTCCAGAATATCCCTATATACCGTGGCTGGGGATATATATTTTCCGTTATATTTACACCCTGGTGGACATTTACCTACCAGTTTCCGCCTCGCGGGTTTAGCTCTCCCCGCGTTCTTGGGTGGAGGGGCAAACGTTTTTGCGAAGCGAAAACCATCTACAGCTTTTCTCTAGGAAACAAAGATTCTTTATAAAGCTTGGCGCATATCGTGCAACGCTCCTTGTGGAGGGGTAATTGACAGCGCGTTATGACCGGATTCTGAGTCTCGCAATACACTCAACAGGGCTGGGGAACCGCCGCCACACTGTACACCTATCTCTATAGACTGTGAACTTGGGATGAGGCCCTTCATAGCAGCCCTACCAGCACGCGGCCGTCACTCCATATGAGAACTTAGCCCCGAATTTCGCAAATTTCGTCCACCTGTGGCCAACGCGGAAGGGCGGGAAAGAGACAAAGTAATAGTGGAGATAACCTTCCAGCTCTTCTTGTTGTAAGCTTTAGACACCCGATCTCACTGACGTGAGTTAAATGCTATATTTACTCTCGACTGGATGTGTATGGATATTTGCCAATCACTTCACTTCTCACGCTCACGTTGATTCGCTAAGGGATTTTCCCATCTTCTTCGCAACGCTGGTTTTTTACGTTTCGCTCACTCTTAAACGCATCCTTGATGTATGTACATTGGAGCCTAGATAATAAACGGGTTCCCTGCTTCTAAGCCCTATAGCAAAGAATCCAAAAAGAAAAAAAAAAAATGAAGGGGTAAGAAACTGTAATCCGATATAAAAAGCTAACCACAATCAGATGTTTTACGATTACCGTCGTAGAAAAACAGAGAGACACAATTCATTCTACCACGGTTATATTAAACATTCGCACTATCTCCTCATTTTCCTTTTCTTTCTTCCCGCAAACTAGGAAATCTAGAGGATTATTCATTACACCGCATTACACATAATACATTTACGTCTAGGCTTGCGGGAGTTACTCCTACCCAGCCTCGAAATCATCTACGCTCTCCAGGAGCTCTGCATCGCTAGGTTCCCAAGGGTACCGTCGCTCCAACTGCCTAATCAACTGCACATGTCTCTCGCTCCTCGGCTCGATTCGAAAATCGAACTTGGTCGGATACGTCAGAATGCCCGGCCTCGGCCGGACATCGACCTCGACCTCCTTGCCATCTTCGCCCACCGCCTTGCGCATGTTGAAAGCAGCCAACAACTGCGCAACGGTCAGGTAGAGGCTGGCGTCCGCAAGGAACCGGCCAGGGCATACCCTGCGGCCATAACCGAAGGCGTCCGCCGTGGGATCGGGCTCGTTGCGCGGCGCGAGGAAGCGGTCTGGATCGAACGCTTCCGGCTCGGCATAGACGTCCGGGTCGTGCAGGAACCACCAGACGGCCGGGAGGAGGAGTGAGCCCTGCGGGATATGCAGGCCGTTGTACACGATATCCTCCGTGGCCGTGTGCGGGAAGCCCATGGGCGCAATGGGCCACCATCTCACGGCCTCTTTGACCAGGGCGTCAATGAATGGCAGCTGGCTGCGGTCGTCGAAGTTTGGGAGGCGGTCCGTGCCGACGACGCGATCGATCTGCTCCTGCGCTTTACGCTGCACGTGGGGGAACTTGATCATGGCCAGTGTAAATATGGTGAGGGTGATTATCGTAGTATCCGCGGCAGCGCCGTATAAACTGGCCGCTGTCCAGATGATAGCCTGCTCATCTTCGTGCTCCAACTTAGCGTCCTCATCCCGCCTGAGTTGCTGGACCAGTTTTGATACGTATGAAGGCTGGTTGGTGTGGTCACCAGCCATTTGACGCCGGACAAATCGGTACGGGATGTACGCAGAGTCCAGGATGGACCTTTTCCACCTACGCGCTGTCTTCTGAACGTGCGCAGGGAAATCTCCGGAAGATAGCGGAAGGCGGGAATAATATCAACGGCCCAAGCCATGGGCACAGCCGCGAGGGAAAACTCCGTCATCATTTTATCAATCAGATCAACCAAGGGATCAGGCTTATGCGGCTCGATGGTGTAGCCGTATGCCGTTTTCAAGACAGTAGCTGCAGCGGCACTGCCATTGATTTTAGTATACGCAAATCCCTGATCCCATCCCCTTTCCCCCATCGCTCCCACCAAATCCAAAAAAGATCCAAAAACATCACTGAAACTTACGTCTTGAAATGCTCCAGCCATTTCCCGGGCTCATTCAGCGCCCGCACAAGCTGTCGGCTCACCTCGATCTCCTGGACACTACGGAACTGCGCCGCGGACACCTTGGTACCAAGCTCCCGATGCAGATACTTGCGATAGCGACGGAAAGTCGGCGTGTAGCTCTGACAGAGGACAATAGACTCGTAACCGCACAGCTTGTTTGCCATGACCATCGTGGGCCGTCCGGACGTCTTGCTCGACGTCTGCTCCAGCAGTCCATGCGCCGTTTTCCTGTCATGGATGGCGACGAGCGTCAAGCCCAGAACCGTCACGGAACTGATGCCGCCATAGAGGTCCTTGTGCTTCAGCCAATGCTGGTATTCAGGCACGCCATCCGGTGGGAAATCTTTCAGGTTTCCCAGGATAGGATGCGGTTTGGGGCCCGGGGGTAGTTTGCCCTGGCGCTTCCTCTGGACCGACTGATTATATATCAAGTACCCGATGAGGGCTGTAAGACTCCACAAGATCAATGATGTAATCGCCATGCTGGCAGATCACCTGTCAGATTCAACGGGAGCAGAACAGTAAACGCGGGTGGTATATGCTTGTCCACCGGCTTATCGTTATTCCAGCTTTATTGTGGGGCTCCCAGCATCCCCCATGTTTTGACTAGTCAAGGGTTATTCTGAGAGAGAAATTTTTGAGGGGTGAATGAAGTGCAACAAGCTAAAACTAAGAAGCACTTAACAAAAAAATTAAAAAGAAAGAAAAAGATTTAAATCAAAACGGGGGGGAATTAAACAAAAAAAAAAGGTATCCACAAGCGAAAACTGAAAGATAACGAAAACACTGTTGGGTATTACCTGGAGTAACACTGGCTGATAACACAGTGTGCTCCATCTGATCCAAATATACATCTATCCCTCGCTGGTAGCAAACCCAAAAAGCAAATAGGGAGGGATTGACAAAAAAAAAAAGAAAAAAATATACTGATCAATCAATAAATTCCCTCCAATTCAATATTAAACCCATTCCAAAAAAAAAGAAAAAAAAAGAAAAAAAAAGAAAGAAAGAAAGAAAGATCAAAAGCGATATGAAACGAAGGAAAAGAAACAGCCAAAATTCAGTTTCCATCCAAACATCCTAACCTCCGTACCAACCAAACATTCAAACCCCTCCTCCCCACTACCCGCTTCAGCGTCGGCCACACTCCATTCTCGCCAAAATCCATATCATCCAGATTCAAATGGCGCGCATATGACCAAAGGAGGTGCAGTTGCAAGTAGTGCAGGCTTCCCCTATCCTTTTCCTCGTTCTCATTTGTCCTGTCTGCAACCGCATCCGCATCTGCAGCGGATGCAGAACCAGTACGGACAGCAACATATCTATCCAGAAACGTATTCGAGTTCGGCGCGATGAGGAGGGTTGGGTTGTCGTGTTGGATTTTGACTTTGTTATTATTATAATTATTGTTACTGTTCACCGCGCCATCATCATTACCCGCATTGGGATCCAGCTGTTGGTGCTCATGGTTACGTTTGGCAGCAGGTTTGCCGTGTTTTGGCTTGCGATCGCTGTAGCATTTCGGGACAGACCGTTCGAGTCTCTCCATCATCTCCGGGCCAGGAATACCCATAAGGTCAATGGTGGAGATGCTGGAGAAAGAAAGATGTGGGACGCTAGTATTGCTCAGATCACCTAGCATCCAAGAGGGTGGGGGATAGGTTTTCCACCAGAAAGCGGTGACAGTGCCGCTGGGCATTCGTATCGGCATTGAGTTGTCTGGTTTAGAATTCATCCCCCCTGATCCCGGGGAGGAAGTCAGCGGCGCGGTTGAGTTGGCGAGGAGGGTGGGTAGGTGGAGTTGTGTTGGGATCACCCCGCCTTGGTGATAGATGCCCATGAGGATACCTAGAGCAGCGTTGAAGAGGACCCAGGATGCTAGGAAGATAGCGGGAGCGTGGGGGACGAAAACAGGTTAGGAGAAGGGCCAACGCAGGGGATTAGGAAGCGGGGTTCTTGGTGGGGGAAGATGGAGAGGAGGACTGTTGCTGAAAGGGCTGAGATGGCGCGGAGGTTCCTGAGGGAGAAGCACGAACCGGAAACTTGAGGATATGAAGGAGTAGAGTAAGAGGAGGTAGATGGGACCAAGGAGTTGGGGTAGGTTGACAAGGAAGTGATTGTAGCGCGGATGGAGGCCATGGTTAGCGAGGTTTGAAACGTCGGAGTTGTAGAACAGGTTGTTGAGGGGCGTAATGATTGGGTTGTGGAAAACGTCGGAAAGGGATGTTATGGATGCGCTGTAGAAATTCGTGTCTGTGAAGATCGCGATGAAGCAAGATATGAGGCCGAAAACAATGACTGTTAGAAGCGAAAGCGGTCTGCATGTGTAAAGTCAGTGCATCAGGCCGACAGGAACTGGTTGTATTGCACGGACAAAAAAAAAGGGGGGGGCGTTACATACTTGCGAAGGAAATGGGGGACCAATCGAAGGCCGGGTATCAAAACAAATGCTGGAAAAGTTATTCTATTAAAAACCCCCGCGACGAGCAGGAAGGATAAGACCACACATGCGAAGATAGACGAATTTTGCTATGGGAGCAGGGTGTCAGCATTATTTGTTGCAATGAATGAATTGTGTGCATTTACATATTTAGATATAGATATATAGATATATAGATATATTTATGTGCGTACCTTGTTTTCGAGAATGCGTTGTATCAAAACTAAGCTCCACACGACAAGCAATGTCTCCAACGAATTCGAGAAGGTATGTGTCTGGAAAGTCCAGGTAACATAGGAGGATGCCACCAGGACGACTGTCTGGCGACGGAGTCGTGAAGATGATGCCACCAACTCATGGATCGCCCAGTCCTCCATAACAAAGCTCAGAACAAACATGCTCCCGCGCAGGACATAGTATATCAGTTCCGGCGGAGTATTTCCAGTCCCATCTTCCGCCCATAGCCACTTCAGGAGCGTCATGGGTACGCCGTAGAAAAGCCATAGCGGGAAAACGCTCCGAATAGGACGGTCTGAGGTAAATTCCCAGGTTGGCTTGGAAGGATAGTTGAAGATTTGGCCTGCAAGAGTTCGATTGTTAGCAGCCCATTGTAGACTTTGTCTGATATTGTAAATTCAATCAATGGACGCTGGCGGAAAAGGGGGAATCTGGTAGCGCAGACGACAACAAGGGGCGGTTAAGACATTTTTATTTTGAATCAATACAAGTTCTTGGCGTATTTGCAAATCGCTTTGATGTCAAAATAAAACAAAGATGCCTTGCGTCAAATCCGAGAGATGCCAGAGGCAGCCCCCCCAAAGGGAGAGGGTCCATCCCAACAAAAAATCTCCCGGCACCTGGAAGATCTCATCCGGGGTGAGATAGACTGGATGAGAAGGCAAAGTTGATGCGAACCACGAGGAGAAGCAAGTATGTTCGTCTGAACATAGCGCAGGACAAATCAGGGGATCAGATAGTGCGACCATAGGAAATGATAGAGCATTGTACAGTACATGAACCTGGGAGGGTGCCCGGGTCAGCAAGACGAGCGAAGTTGGTGATGCGTTGCTGCGAAAGGGTGGGTTGTGTTGGGTGAGATAGAAAAAGTCGATGATCAACCGAGAGCCTTGATCAGGATTCGGTGGCCGAAAGACGGCATGGCCACACCCCCATCTTACAGACTATAGAGGTTAGTCTTGGTTGAGGGATGCTGAACTGCTCATTAGTTGCTTATCTTCTCTACTGATCTAGACTAGATCAACATCGAATCGGGACAACTCCAGATCGAAGCCCACGGCCCAGATGGATGGCAGGAGATCAGGAGGAGAAACGGCGGGGGTTCAACCAAACTCTTTAACTAACAATAGTGGACCCAGGCCTGGGTTCTAGGTGCTGTTGGGCATTGGACCGGGCACCTCATTGCTGCGAATACAAAAGCCCCATATCATATATGTGGATGCTGAATGTGTCCATACAGTACGGGACGGTACAGGATGGTACAGGACGGTACAGAGACACACACAGAACCTTCTTACTGTGAATGGTTGCCGCGACACAGACCGGAACCCGACCATGGACAGCCAGCACAGGGCAAAGTTACCCTTCTCCAGCAACCGGATACATACACTGTCACGTGATATCACTGGCTGTCAGTGGATCCCGCCAAACCCTCTGCCTGGCGTGGGTTGTCAAAGATTATAGTCATAACTACTATCTCACCACCACTGTCGCCGCAACACTATTCTGCTCTACCTCTCCCTGAGTAGCTTCCTCGATAAACTCCGTCGCCTATCTGACCCAAAGCCAACCTGATTATCAACCGCGATACGGTATGTCCCGCTTCTTCTGTTTGCGTGCCTCTTATGGCAGCTCCCCTCTTCTCTGAGCATCTCTAGGCAAACTAGCCGGTACTAAACTCCCTCTTGTGCACATATATAGAGACCGATCCCTCATCCCAGAGGATCCTCTTTGCTCTCCGCCCTAGAAACCTATAACGCCCGCTCGAAACTCCCATAAGCTACCAACATGTCGCCTCCTGCCAAAGATGAAACCAATGCCACGAGTACTGGCAAAAATGAAGTGCGGCTGATCCCCTCCGATGAACCCCAAGGCGGCCCCGGGATTTCAGTTGGTATGCTGCAATTCCCCCTTCCTCCGCATGTCTACTTGAAACCCGAAAAGAAATGGTGCGTAAGGCTAATATATTATATCTTCCACCGACTCTAGAACGTTCCATCATAGAACGCTCCATCCTAATCAAGAACATGCTTGAGGATGTCGGTGAGGGAAGCATGGAAGAAGAGATCCCAATTCCAAATGTATGGATATCCTCCCTGTTTGCGAAGCTTTACTCTGCTTCCCCACAGAAGCAACTAACACCCAACCCTTAGGTCAACAGAGCCGTCCTTGAAAAGGTTATTGCCTGGTGCACAAAACATCAGGGCGACCCCCCAAGCACCGGCGACGAGGACAACGACTCCCGCAGGAAAACCACAGATATCGATGAATGGGATCAAAAATTCATGCAAGTCGACCAGGAAATGCTGTTCGAAATCATTCTGGTATTCCTTCCTCTCTGGCTTCCGAGCTACATCAAATAAATTTCTTGATGGCAAAATACTAAACTTGCTCAGGCTGCCAACTACCTTGATATCAAGGCCCTGCTCGATATTGGTTGCAAGACCGTCGCAAATATGATCAAGGGCAAGTCTCCAGAAGATATCCGCAAGACCTTCAATATCCAAAACGACTTCACGCCAGAGGAAGAAGCTCAAATCCGCGCGGAGAACGAATGGGCTGAGGAGTATGTTTTCTTTTTTTTCTTTTTTTCCTCCGCACCTCACTTTATTTCTGTACATTCCTTTCCTATTTTTTGTCGTATACTAACAACTATCTACAGTCGTTGATTTTCATCCACTGTCATACGACATCGTAATACGAAACCATAACGAACTTTCCTTCATCCTCCCTCCGATGCTCTCTTGGTGTGTGCAGCCACGTATGCAACGTAGTCGCAACTGTCTACATTTCACACAGTTATCCGACACAATTGGGTTGAATCTGCGGAATTCGAGAAGGGAAATTGGCACT